AGTCCAGAAGTCGTAAACATAACTGATGACTTATTATAGCCCAGAAGTAAGTTTGTCTGGGATTCTCCTGGGTTACAAGACCCCAGAGAATTTGCCGTTTTAAAACCATGGTCACATTATTTCCGAGAGGCAGAGAATTCTGCCTGCTCCTTTTTTACAAGGTACGAAGAGGAGACCGGATTAGGAGGGAAGTGCTGTGAAAGCCTCAGCCGTAAACAACAGGACAGTGTTATCTGTCGTAAACCTGGTTCCATCCATGTTTGGTGACAGGTTTCTCTAAACACTGAAACCTCGGGGTCTACCATTCATCACTGCATTTCCCCTTAGGTTTGGATTTGATCTGTTTCCCAGAAACAGTATTTAGAAAAAAACATGTCAAAATCAGAAAATGTTTAGTTTTATGTTCTTAAAGGTTCTCAGAGGGAACCTCTCAGTGGAGACACACCATTCTAGATTTGGGCCATAGCAGCTCCAGGACACTGAAGAAAATGCTTCCAGTACAGTCAACTACCAGCTCCTCCTCACTCACAATGGTGCTGCCAAGCTGCTTCTGCACAGCCTCTGTGTAGTCGACCTGCAGAATACAGTATCTGCCTCTAACACTTGCTGGCACGAAATGCAGACATTTGCGTATGTAATCCTTTTTAAACCTCACAACTGTGATAGCAGCTATAAATATTAGCATGGCTGCAGCTGCCAACAGATTGCACCAAAACCCAACCAAAACACACATGCATTCATCTCCCAAAAGTGCCATAAAAGATGATGATAAACCAATACAACTGTAGTAATTAAGCTGCAAAAACAAGGCATATTTAATTCTAGTCGCACTTTATGATGCAGATCCATCTGTAGGTCTGCAGCAGCTGGGCAGCTTCTCAGCAGCACTCAGGTGATTTCTGACAGCTTCTACAGGAAACAGTAGGACTCATTACCTGAACTCTCCTGAGAATAACTAACAAGGTGCCTGTTTTTCTATGGCGTCTAAAAGAGAGACATTTCAACGCCTGCTTGAGACTATAGAGACAAAGGAAGACAGATTTCTAAGAGAAATCATGCAGGATGATAAAACACTACACTTCAGTTGAATATTCACCATATATCACAGCTTTTGTCTGTCTGATGTGAATTTGCAACATGAACAAGGACGGTTTGTCAGTTCATCACTGTGCCACACATACCGTAGAGACAGGAAAACATTCACGCCCTCATTATATATGATTCATTTTAAAGCAGGGATGTTAAACCCCTGGCCCACAGACCACTTCCAGCCACAGAAAAATAAATGTATAGATGAATGGACATACAGTGTATTATTAATAAGAACAATAAAAAATGTAACACAACAAAAAGGTCACAAAATGTATTACCTTTTTTTATAATCGTATTATCATAGAACATTTAAAATCATGTTATTCCTCCTTGCTAGGGTTAAAACCACATAAGGTGGAAAAAGAAGAATATTTTAACCACAATAGTTTTGTTTTATTTTTCCAGAGTTACAGCTTATTGATTTCAAACTTACCTGAAAGTTATACCGGACTTACAGTCAAGAGCATCATTACGTTTCTTGTGTACCCCACGGCTATAGTTCAACTTAACTTAAAAACCTAAAGAAAAACTTCTGGGGAAAACACTACTTCACTCTTCTTCTTTCGTCTTGTGCCAGGAGGAACTGATGTGGCTCCTGCAGTACTTTGTCCTCCTTTATACTCCATTCACACTGACCACAGACTGAAGGCCTGTCTCTGTGCTACACTTTTTGGCCAGATTGCAAAGCTGTCCACAAAAAGGCCAGCTGAGCCACCAGAATTCCTGGGGGCGATGGGTTTGTGACCCAGATGTGAAATCTGCTCTTCTATCTGTTTGATCCAGCAGAAATAAGAACACATAAATAAATAAATGAATAAATAAATAAACAGTCCTGAAAAGAGGCAGAATTTTTAATTGAATACGAACAATGGCTTGGATGACTCTAGTTTTTATCTAAAAA